CATGAGAGCCACATTTAGCCATTGAACAATGAGATTGATGAAATGTGGCAATGTGCAAAAATAGCAATATTATCTGTGATACAGGTACATATATAGCCAGGTCAAAGGTCCAGAGTTATAAAAAAAACAGTGACATTACTAAATTTGGCCCATTAAATTAAGAAGCAAATGGCAACTGAAACAAAATAATAGCCAGCACCAATTGAAAATACAATGACTTGACCATCAACATTAACCTTCCAATTATTTACACTTGTAAAAATTATCACTAAGATTTTTGTCCAGCAGCCAAGGGTAGAGCTTACACCAGATTAAAGACCAGCTGGAACATCTTGTTTCCGTTCATAATTTATTTTATTTTCTAAAATTGAAGGGTTTCTTTATGTGTCATACAGATTTAAGCTTACACTGACTTCTTTGTTTAAAATTCAAAGTTGCAATTAGTTTCACACTCAAGTCAAGACTATACAGCCCATTTTCCATGAGGTCCAACAGATAATGACAGAAATAACTGTGAAAGTGTAATCACTCATGTTTGTGAATTGTTTTTCACTTAGCTTTTCAACCACATAGTTCTGTGAGTGATTCTATACTTCAAGCTTTTCTGCTTCAATAACTAGAACAGAAGCACACAACAACATGTGATTAAGATCAGATCATATGTTGTGTTCTGTTTGATCCCTGAAGGCAACTGCTCAAAACAGAAACACAATTTCAGATCAACTTCTATGACAATTAAGCTTTAAATTGTTTTTGGTTTAAGTTATGATTGTAGTACAGAAAAGCTGAAATAGACTAAAAGAAATTAAAGACCTATAAGAAAGACAAAGCTAGATCCAAAACTCTTCAGCGTATGGCCAAGATCGAGTTTAGTGATACATGTAAAGATCATTGAAGTACTGATCATCAAAAACATCATCTTAAGTCTGAATCCAGAAGCCTTGTGATTCTTAATACTTACGATCTCTTGCAGAGCCAAAAGATCCAGATTTTGTGGCTTTCAAACATCTTCAAACATCTTCAATCTTTCAATCGTTCAGTGACCGTTGAAACGCGCGCCTTTCTTAGAGCATTGCATCATGGGTTATAGCAAACTCGTTCCTAGGGTCTTATCAACATTCAAATCCAAGATGGCGGTTCATGCATTCCACAGAAGAAACTCGGCGGCTTTTTACTGAATTTAGAGGCCTGACACAGGCTGGAAAGTGTTCAGACATCATTTGAAGAAGGGTATAATTATCCTAAGTAATTTTACTCTTACAGAGTTAAAAATATCTACTTGTGAGAAGCATATGCATGGGACTGTTTATGAAGAAGTCTCATGTGGCATGTGATTGTCATTTCTTTTTCATTCACCCTTCTGTGTTCCTAAAGGTAAACTAACTGTTTTGTTATGTATGTTTCTAAAGGAAAACTGAATGTCAACATAAACAGTTGATTCAAGCTTCTCAAATGCCGGATTTCCACAATCAAACTCATTAAATGATTATTAAGCCCCCATATACTGTTGTTTGAACATTGCTGATGGAATTGTAGATTCATCGTTGAAGTTTTTGCAGCCTGAAAATTACTATTTACACGGTAACAATTTAGTGAATCTTGAATTGACAAATAATACAAAAGACGATATAATATTTCATCACAAATACACGTACATGCACCTTGCCATTTCTAAAAACATTTTGGGTGCCCGGGATAAAATAGAATTAAAACAGACTATTTTATTTATATTTTGCAATGAAAGAGACAGGGGTTAAACCAACGGCCATAAACAGGGATAAAATAGTGTGTTTTAAAGCTATTTTGTCATTAGTCAAAGCTGACTCAGATAAAATAGGATTTTCATAGCCTGTTTTATGTCTATTTTGCAAAGGAGCAAGTCATTACCTTTGCTACCCAAAGGAAAATAGAGATTAAACAGTCTATTTTATCACTGTTTTATAGAGGAACACTGATCTAAGAATGTAACATAGGTTTAAAACAGCCTATTTTGCGCGCTATTTTTCAGGATGTTATGAAAAAATAGAAATAAAATACCACACTTTGTCTGTCATGCTTAAAAATAGGTTTAAGATAAATGTAAAACACAAATAAAATTGAAGCCTATTTTCTCCGTCTGGTAAACTAGGAATAAAATAGACATTTGCAAGGATAAAATAGGACAAAAATAGATGTGATAGCATTATAATAGCCATAAAGTAGAAATAAAATAGGGTTATTTTTGTAAGGGAAGAGAAATAAATTCTCGTTTTTACGGGCTGCTAAATTTAGAGAAACGAAATTTTAGATGTCTAGTTGACCCTTGCGTTTTCCCAGTCTGCTCTGCTTACAAAGTCGTTCATTTTTCGGAATACCAGAATTTCAGTGGCATTTCACCAGCACATTTTTTTTTTAGAATAAACACCCTGTCTGCTGTGGTGAAGAATTTGGAATGTCGAATTTAAGTAATATTTTGTGTAGAGCTTCACCATGAGAAGCATTTCAAGACAATTGTTGTCTTAAGGAAAATTTGTACGAGGTCGATGTATTTTGAGAATGAGCAGAAACAGAATCTTTGAATTCGTATGTTTAGGAAATTTCGGTGAGTAAGTTAACGGTTCATGACCGGTCAGAAATTAGCTTTGCTGCTTTCGTTTTATAAGACCAATTGTTACAAAGCTAACAAAACAGGCGAATTCGATCGCAGTTATCATTGTGCTGGTTTGTACGCCAGTGACGTGGTCATAGTTCAAAACAAGAAAATTATCAATGCTTGTTACTTTTTAGTTTCATAAAATTTAAGATCCCGTAAAAGTCATGAGAGAATTGGTCCCATATATTACTAAACTGTAAAATTCTGGGTTTTATTTTATCTGCAACAAGATACTTTTTAAGAATAATAACACAACTACTGTTAGAGTGTATAACCCTACAAGTAAAATTCGGCCTGATTTGACCCGATTAGACGAGTTTCTGTCGCGCAATTCAGATTCCATGGGCTGACATCAGAAAAGTTCAGAGATCACAATGCACCGATTAAGAGTGCATTTTCAGGGAATAAGCAAACAGGTATAACTTAGGGTATAAATCACAAGAATTCATTTTATGATATGATCAATATCTCCTGCACATATATCAACATGGGACAGATCAGGCCAGATCAAATGGTGAAACATTACATGATTTATAGCACGAGAGCTTATCATCGCATCATGCTACTTGCGTTAAATAAGGAAACAAATTGTATCACTCGAAGACGAATCACCTGGAATTTATCCTCGCTGGTTGGTTTTAGATTTGTTTGGTATCAATATTATTTCAACCCATGAAATAAAGTAACTAACAAATGATTTAAGATTAAAGTTCGCTTCATTTTAATACAGAGCCGTTTAAACTTCCTGAAGTAGACATTGATTCACAATCTGTTTTTAGAAGCCCTTTGATAAAGGGTCTTAAATACTTGAATTCAACCCCGACACGCGAACAATTGGGGGATCATAATGAGCCGATAAAAAAATAACATCTAATGCGCACTTTCCGAAAATAAGAAAACAGGTATAAATTACAAAAATTAATATTCAGCAAAGATCAGATCGGGCCAGATCGAGCCTAATCGAGAGTGAAAATGTGCGCCTGTTTTCTCTAGTTAGCAATGCACTTGGGTTACACTGTTTTAGTGCAGCAGTGGAGTTCTTGGCACTCTAAAATAAGTGACACGAGGTTGTTAGAAGGGCCTTTGATTACTTTCAGTTTCAGTTGAAGTGTCAAGTTTAACAAATTTTTTCATGTATGTGTACATAAGAAGTGTTCCTCAATAGAACTATAGTTTGTGTGCAAAATTTGCACAAGGTGAATTTATTTTTAGGAAAAGCAGACTTTGGTATTTTTAGTTGTCTAATTAACAAAAGATAATTTGATAACAGTTCCTAGGACTGCAGTGCAAATCTTAGGAATATGGGCGTACTTGTTCTTAGTAAAATGAAGAAATCGCGTGAAAGCGCAAGCAGTTGCTAATTGTTTGATTGAAACTGCTCGTACAATTTCAGAGAATTTTCGAATATCACTCGCTTTCTAAACCCTCCATTGCACTTTTAACCTCTCTCAATAATACTTTTATCGTTGCTCATTTTCCTTCTTGCCCATGTTGCCATGTTGCCATGTTGCCCATGTTGCCTTTGTTCCCCTTTTTGCCCATGGTGCCCATGTTGCCCTGTTGCCCCGTGTCCCATGTTGCCCTTGTTGCCCATGTTGCCCTTTTGACCTGTTGCCCGTGTTGCCCCTGTTGCCCCGTTGCCCAT